CTGAGCCAAACCAGCCAGGGCTTGCTTTCCTTTTTAAAAATTTACCTTTATTATTGAAAGTATTAGGAATGTCCCCCCTGTTTTTCCCCATTGAGCCCCTCCCGCCCACCCCCGAGCCTCCTGCCTTCACCACACTAGTGTCTGTTCACTGGTTATGCATATACGCATATACATTCTTTGGTTTATCTCTTCCCTCCCCACCAATCCCCTTCCCGCTGAGGTTCTCCAGTCTGTTCGCTGCTTCCATGTCTCTGGATCTATTTTGTGCATCCATTTATTTTGTTCATTAGAGTCCACATATAAGTGGGATCGTGTGATACTTGTCTTTCTCTGACTGGCTTATTTTGCTTAGCATGCATCATAATTTTTAAATGGTTTGTACCTCATAGCTGAAAAGTGTGTTTCTCACCATTCCGTACGGTTGATTACCTCTTTCCACCGAAGCATATTTACTCACTACATGTCCAACTTTTACTATAAGAAACCTTAATACCTTTTGATTTACACAACAACCGTGTCTGACTATTGACTCTTAACTGATGGTCAAACAAAGGCTCGGACAGCTCAAATAGCAATTAGTAACTTGATAATTTAACCCTCATCTTCAGACTCCAAATCCTACTCTTTCTTAATACACTATGGTGTATCCCTGATAATTTTATTTATCTTTGTTCAGTAACTGTGCACATGTGATTGTCAAAACAATTCCAAATGTAAAAAAAATGGAGTAAATATCACATGGTCTCACTTATATGTGGAATCTACTGCTGAACAAAATAGGTCCAGAGACATGGATGCATGGAACGGTCGGACAGGTCTCGGAGGGAAGGGGAGGGCCGGGAAGAGTTTAACCAGAGGGTTTGTATGCACATGTGGATAGCTCACAGACACAGCCAACAGTGCAGTGAAGGGCTGGGGTGGGCAGGGGCTGGGGGGAGGAGGGGAAGGGAAGAAAATGGGGGACATCTATAATGCTGTCAACAATAAAAATAAACTTTTAAAAATGGAGTAAAAGCCCCAAAGTTATTTTCACATAAATTCTGTGCATCTAAAATGCCAAGTCTGGGGGGAAAAAGGGGAAACATCTGTAACAAAAATAAATTAATTAATTAAAAAATAATAGTAATAAATAGCCCTGGCCAGTTTGGCTCAGCGGTTAGAGCGTCGGCCTGCGGTCTGGAGAGACCCGGGTTCGGTTCCCGCTAAGGGCACGTACTTCGGTTGCAGTTTGTCCCCGGCCCTGGTTGGTCGTGTGGGTGGCAGCCACTCGATGTGTCCCTTCACTTCGATGTTTCTCTCTCTCTCTCCCTCCTACTCTATCTGAACAAAAAGTGTCCTCGGGTGAAGATAAAAAAAAAAAAAAATAGTAATAAATAAAATGCCAAGGGACTCTGTATAACTGAGGTTGATGGCAGTGTATTTTCAATACAATTTGAAAGTTTAGTCCATTAAATATGTTTTCTTACACAGGTGATACCAAAATTATAATTTCTTTGAGAGACTACATAAAATATTTCATTCATAAACTAAAAAAGCACATGAACAAATGTAAAAAAATCAAAACGTGATAAAATTGATAAGGATTTAGAGGACTTAATCTATAATATAGAAATAATGATACATTTAGATATTTGGAATCAATTAAATGCTTCAATTCCTAAACTTACATGCTAAAGACAATTTTTTAAAATATCTAGAGCTACAGTGTATGTGACTGTACATAAAAAGGTGAGATGCTTAATAAAAATAAACAATGTTATAATATTTCATACTTAAATAATTAAGTCTTATGGATAAAAATAATATTTTTAACATACATCATCTAGAAGTAAATTCTTCTGTATTAGACAGTTGTCACCTTCCAATTTAGAAATTAAGAAAACATGGTCAAATATTCATAAAAATGGAACAGAAAATATTTTTAGATTTATAATGAAGTTCAATTTGACAATAATATGTAGATTTCAACCAAAAATAAAAATAAGTTCCCAACTGCACAGTAAAAGAAAAGTTATACTATTTAAGTGTGAAATAGCACAATTCAAGTTCTCATTAAAAGAGGCTGAATGGAACATGAATGTAAGAACATTAGTGAAAAAACAAAGACTAATACAGTAAAATGGTATTGAAATGATTTTCATTAGGCATTGTTAAAAATTAAAGAGGAAACATTTTAAAAGTATAGGAGAGATAATAGAGTTGTAAATGAAGAGATTTCTAGTATAAAGAAACCCAGTCCCATTTATATTATAGTGTCTAAACCAATAAAGAAGCTATCTTCTAACACAATGAATGAGGCTCTATTCGGGAAAGCGTGTTGGTGATGTTGGTGTGTCTATGTGCCTACTCCATCAATTATGGGACAAACTCTAAGAACAGCTAGTGGCATTTAGGAACTCCTAGTAGTGCACAGTTAATTTTCACAGTATTTTATAAGGCTACAGGTTAAATAGAAATGCTATGAGGAAAATAATCAGTCTTTGGAACCCTAAGCTTTATTAATATACTAAATATTTAAAACATTTAAAAGAATTGATAAATCAATAAAAATCATTTGATATAAATTTAAGTTATAAGAAATTGTTATATGGAGATTTATTGTGACTGTCATATAGTACATTTCACAACTTTTCTATCTTGTATTGGCTTTAATTTAGATACCATTGAAATTAAATGTTAACCTGGGACAATCTAAAAAGCATGATCATCACTTCATGCTCAGGCACGTATTTCAATATGTTAGAATTGTAATTTTTATAGCTATTTAAGTTAGCTTATTAGAGTTTTTCAGTCCAAATTTATTTTACTGTCACTTTAAGAACTTCTCCAGCTGAATTTATGTTGTCTAGGTAAAATATTATTAGGAGATAATGCAATTAACAAATCAAGTGTCAATCGGAAAGGTTTAAAAGGATACAATGCAAAGGTGTATTTTTATGTAATAAAATTTTCCTTGATCTTATTACCAAATTATAGCTTCTATTTTCTTAGGCCACTTTATTCCTTTTATATTGTGTAGATATAGATTATATCCAAAATTACCTTTTTTCAAGCTCTTTTTCCTGCTGGAAACAGAAATAATTCATACCCCATAAAACACTTCCTTTCTATTTTACTACAGTGAACTCACTGATATGCTATTTTTCAGTAATGAAACCAGACAGACAATGCCAGAAAATAAAACGGAATCCTGAAGTCATCTGAAATCAATTTAAGATCAGCAAGTAGAATACTGAGAATAATAATTAAATACACAAATCTACTGGCAGCTTTGCACTCTTGTCTTGCAATGCAAAATAACCCTATCTACAGATACCAGTTTCATGAGACTACACTGCATAATGCAAATGAAGTACCATTTTGTTTTTAAGAGAGATCTACTTTTCCTTTTTTATTGTAATATAAATAAAATAGCACTTATTTTGTATTTAAATATAAATTTAAGTAAGTGCTATTTTATTTATATAATGATAAAGAAGAGGAGACATCTGACTTAGACATTCAATGACCACATGAGTCAAAGAAGGTAAGCCTTTTGAATTTCTTCAATGACATCTGCCTTAACTCCAGGCAGACGGGAATCAGAGCCATAAAATCACGTGTTTGGGAACCTTGAGAGAATGCGTCAACCTACAGAAAAAGAGGCTCTACAACAATTGCTTCTTTTCAATAAAAAAGTCCTCTGATTTCTGAGGTGCACAAGCATTTTAGAAACTAAAACTGGAAACTCAAAATATTGTTCAAATTTAAAAGTAACAATGGGTTCAAATGGTAAGATTCAAGTTACTATGATTTTGATGGTTATTTTTAATAATGTATCAAGATAAAAATCTCTATGACTATTTAATTTTTAATCTTAAAATATAGTGCTCTAAGATGAATAATATATTCTGAGATTTATGTTAATAAAATGCATAGTTTTAAGAGTACAGTTGCATTCATATTTCTATTTGAATTAACTACATTAGAAATGGATTTTTCTAGAGTGGACTTTATCTAAAACCTTTACTTTCAAGTTACTTTCTTAGTAGTTTTATTACAGTGATACCAAGTACATTATTGTAAGTGTCAAAATACAATAATTAATCTGTTGCTATTAGTGCGAGAAACCTTATTGATAGAATGCTAGAGATACTGGTCCTCAAACTATAAATTGATTGTTGAAATTGGTATTCCAGAAATCAGTATGTGGTCTAATACCATTTCAGGTATTAACTAGAGGGTGGCTAAAGTCACCATATTAAATTTTCAAAGCACTTAAGCTTGAAACTACTAAAAAGGAAATCATTAAAAGAAAACAAACAGATAAATGGAAAAATGTAACTGTGGCAATGCTCACTATTCCCTGAACAATAGCTGATACACTACTGAGAATGAAATGAATTATTTACATAATAGTCTGAGGATAAAGTACACTAAACCCATGTAATGGTACTAATAGTACTAAACACTGTAGAAGCTACAGTTTCATTAGTACTCCATCTTCATAATCTTGTTCTAAACAGAGTGTTTTCAAGTTAATGCATCAAATATTATATACCACTTATTTACAATGATGCCTATTCATAGAAATGGTAGAGAATAAACCCACCAAAAAGGTTAATTAAACTAGTAGTGGACACACTGTATATGAAAATGAATTCCAACTGATGAAGAGACTATTTACAACTGCAGGTTTTCTGCAGTGTTCTGTGATGCTCAAGGTAGCATGTCCAACTCCTGGAGCACTTTATGAAAGTAAAACATAACATCTGTCACATATTCCCTTTCAGAGGTCATAACATTCTTTATCCTGAACATTGTGGTATAAAAATCAGCTAACTTTTATACTGTAATTTAGTTATGATCACATTATTGCCGTAGCAAGAGAATGTCTATTATTGCTTATTCAAATTACCATTTATTAATGCTAAAAACATGTTGCTTCTATCACAAAATGCAGTGTGTATACCAAAATCATTTTACACATCAAAAGAGGCAGAAGTATTCATTAAATATACCTTGATATGGAGCACTAAATCCACGGTATCTGTGATTGCTGTCTGTAACAAAATGCAGTCTGAGCCAGTTTTTGTTGCTGATAATTGGTGGTGGTATATTCATCCCAGATAACCTGAATTATGGAAGACAACAACAACAAAACTTTTAAAAGCCTTTCAGCAGTAAGCATTTTTACTGAATTGCCCCCCCCCGCCACAAACTTATATATGTGTATACAAGATTCATGACTTTGTATTAACTTTTTAATCACAAAGGAAATAGTTGTTTTATGTATAGAAAAGTCAATTAAAGAATAATAAAATTCTAAACATGTTATGTTCCAATTAGGTTGCATATATTTATAAAATCAACAGTAAGCTGGATATGATTTTTGATTCACCCCAATGTATTGCATAGATAATAAAAAACATAATGGAAGCTGAACTAATGGTGCTGGTCATTGTGTTCCCTATGTATTAATACAGCACAGTTACAAAGCAGAAAGACGACTTCCAAGCAATGGGTCTACTTTTTTCACCAATATATTTTTAGTATTTCAACTTTGATAGAAGATTTTACAATTTCATTTTATAGGACAAAACTATTTTAGTGTAATATCACAATACTATAAATTTATATGATTAACTTTCTTTATAAAATATATTTCTGTAATGCACTGGAGGTCTGCTCCAACTGATAGACAGAAGACATTGTACTTTGGGTATATATTTAGTCCCTACATTGCTAGTCATAAGGAACCATTTCATAATCTCCTTAAAGCGAGCAACTAAGGTAAAATCTTCAAATGAATCTTCAAAATCTTCAAACTAGGGCCTAGATAGTTAAGGAGAACTTTAGACTAAGGTTTTTTAATAACTAGCATATGATATATCTACATAGACAGCGTGTGTGTGTGTGTGTGTGTGTGTGTGTGTGTGTGTGTTGATTATAACTCTTCTCCCAGTCATTCTAGAGGACCAGTCGAGGGACACTGGAATATCTGTCAGGGTACATATAATCAGTGGTGAGGTGTAGAGATGGTGACAATGAGGACCCTTTACCCATCACCCTCCTCCCTAATGTCCCCAAATGAGCCCGCCTTTCCATGACGTTTGGGAGCTAACCAACACTTACAGTGAATAACCACTAGCTAAGTCATGGAAATATAAATTCGCCTGTATTGTATCATTGTGCCCATGAGTATTAAGAATGGACCTGGAAATAGTACCATGGATCTAATTTTCTTGCATTCTAACATGAACAAGCTGGGTTTTATTACATACATTTCTCATTTCTCTTCCTGCTTCGAAATGCAAATTTAACTTTTCTCTATCACTGCCCTATTTTCTCTCTTAATAGTGGTGTTTCTGTTTATTGGTCCTGCTGGCTGGTTTTTTATATCTGAATTTAGTAAATATATGTAATTCACCTGTATAAGACTCAAGTTTTAAATTTCACTTAATTGCTTTCAAAAATATCCAGATTATGTTTACGTTTGTTTGCTTGTCGGTTAGTTCAGTTCAAATAGCAATTTAGTAAAAAAAAAAAGAAAGAAAGAAAGAAAAGAAAAGAAAAAATTGACTTGATATAATTTTATTTTCATTAAGTAGCATATTTCATGCCAGATTTTGATTTACAGTGGTTCTCTTCAATTCCCTGATTTGATACGCCTAAATATCTACTCAGAAAAATTTAAATTGTTTTTGACAGGCTGTACACATCTCTAAATGGAATGAGACTAAAATGGGTGGATAGTTGTAACACACTGTTTGTACAGAGTTTGAAGAGAGGTCCTTAGAAGCTCCAACAAATGAGAAGCAACTCATTTGACTTTGAGTGGCAAATATACAATGCACTCTACAGATGATTTATATAGAACTATACACTTGAAACCTATGTAATTTTATTACTCAATGTTACCCCAAGAACTTTAATTTTAAAAAGGAAGCCAGAGGACAGGGAATTCTACCGGGAACAAGGCAGAGTGGGGCAGTTGAATGTGGATCTGGGACAAAGTGTTTTAAAACTGATTTTCATGGTACTTGGTTCTATGAAATCATTTCAACTAGAAATGCTCACTGAATTAATGTCAAAATATTTCATGGTATATTTCTATGAATATCTTTGATTAAGAAATGTTCACCAAATAAACACCATAGCAAAACAAATGTAAGCATATTGTGCCTAATTCCTCCTTCTATTAATTTAAGCTAAATGTGTAAACATATCTGTTTATAAATTTGAGTAAAGGCATTTATATTTAGGTTCTTATAAATATTTGTATTCATAATTTTATGTGGTAAAACCAAATTTCAAAATAACAATGTTCAATAAGAATTTCAATTAATGGGTTGTTTACTTTAGTTTTAGAAGATAAATTATGATACACAATTAGCTTATGAGTAAATGCGTGAGACATGTTTACCAAAACAACAACAACAACAACAACAAAACCACATCTGATTTATATACCTCATTGCACAAGTACACAGTCAAGCATTTATCTAGATAAAGCATCAATTATAAAATTGTCCCCTGGAGTATACTGATCATACTAACCATATTTTTCATGGCCTCCACATACTTTATTTGGGTTTTATCTTTGGCATAAACAGAAAGAAGAAAAGCGCATTCATCCGTGTGTGTCAACTGGAATAGTAGGGGGCGAATTGAAAGTGAAAGAGGAAACTGGCCAGATAGTTGGCAACAAAATTCAAATCGGTAAACAAGACATTAACCCATACTCTGAAATGAAATCTGTCAAAGTATTTTAGTACCTCCCTGTTCATTTATTTTCTAATGATTTTTTTCATTTAACATTTTCTCATATATATACTAATTGAGCACATTATATGTATCAGACACCCTCTAAGCTAGTGAGGATAGTTATGGAAACAACAAAGATATGACCCTCAAGGAACTTATATTCTGGTGGGAGGAGGAAGAAAATAAACATATGAATAAACATATATATATGTGTGTATATATATATATGTGTGTGTGTGTGTGTGTGATTGTATATATGTATGTATGTATGTGTGTATATGTATGTATCATGATAGGCTGTTAGCAAAACTAAGTAGTGTGAGCAAGATAGAGGGTGATATGGTTAGATCGATCAGAAAACAAACTCTAATAATTCAGCCCCTTTAGCTGAATTCTGAAGGAAGTGAAGGCATGAGCCACGCAAGTATCTGACATGTGGCATTTATACTACGGCCAGAGTGGAGTGATTACCAAGGGCAATGGTTCGAGATGCCACTGGAGGGCTAGCAGTCGGCCAAGTTGTGTAGACCCTTGTACGGAAGCTATTGGAATGTTTTTAGTAGAGGAAGGTCAGGTCTGTGTTGCATTTTATATGGACTGAGCGGTTGTGTTTAGCAGAACAGGGTTGCCACAGGTGGAGGCTAACCAGGTGCTAGTTGCTGGTGTAGTCTGGGGATAAAGCTGATGGTAGTGGAGGCAGATGAAAGGTTGTTCCCTAATTTAATTTTGTGAAAGTCAAAGGAGTTTGTAAGAAAGAAAAGAGTTAAAAAGGTCTTCAAAATGTTGTCTAAGCAGATGAAGAGATGGAGAAGGCTGTCAGAAGCGGAGATCTGGGAGGAAAGAGTGGGAGCCCAGTTTTGGACACGTGAAGCTTGCGATGCGTATGAGAGGTTTCAGCAGAGCTATCCCATTCAGAGTTAAGTAGGAGTCACTAGTACATAAGTACGGTTATTAAAGCCATGTTTCCAGATACAGTCACCAAGAGAACAGGTATTAATATCATGGAGAAGACCAAGAACTCACGATGCTCAGCCCCCCTTCCCACCCCTAAGGTCAACCCCAGACACACCTTAAAGAGAAAGATGTTAGGAGAACTTTGAGAAAGTTTTCTCCAACAAAAGAATATGTGGATTCCACCTTAAATCCCTCTATATAGTAGGACTGTGGCAGCCAGATTTAAAGGTAGGAGAATAAAAATAGGAGGAGAGATGTTAGAATTCTGCTCTCAGCTCTCAGCCACTGTTGCCTTGGCATGTCCTGTGCTGCTCCTACCGCGGGATTCCGGAATTCCTCCTCACCTAACCCATCCTTGCTACTGACCCAGGTGGCGTTGCCACGTAGACTTCCGGTGTCGACGAGGACTTGTGAAAAACAGGTAAGGACCACTAGCCTTGGGGAGGTTTTTGACCACCATCTATTGCCAACTTAAAGAGTTAGTAGTAGAGTTTAAACCCATGCAGTCTAACTCTAAAGCATATTATTTCTATCAAGTGGTATAAAGTATCTTATATTAATAATACTGAATCTATGTTTTATTTCCCCCCAATGTATTGTATGTCTTTAATGTCATTTTTTTCTGGAAAAAAAAATCTGTATTATTGTGATATTCTAAATTGCAGTCATGCTTAGAAATTCATTTTTATTCAGCAAATAAAGGAATCTTCTTGTTTACCTACTACAACATATTGCTGCTTCCATTTTATGCACTTAAATATTTAATCCATTTGTGATATAATTTAGTGCCAAGTGGGAGGTGAGATATAGATGGAATAATTTCCTCATACAGCTGCCAGTTGTCAGTGTACATTTGAAAACACTCTATTCTCAATTCTTTTTTTTCCATTTACAAAAGATAAGCTGTGTCCTGTAGAGTCGCAGCAGTCCACTCACTCGGTGTGACCCGAACCACAGGAAGCCGGGTCCACCTCACTCCATTCTGAGCCCAGAGCTGGGGCCAGAGATCAAGAAGCCGCTCCAGCCCGTTCCCAGGTTCCCAAGTGTCTCACTGAGGCCAATCTGGGACCGCGCGAGAGTGGCCAGGGGGTCACCATCAGCAGGTGGCTCTGTTGCTGTGGAGCGTGGTCTCAGAGTCTTCGGGGACTACCTTGGGTACCTGGTGAAGCAGACTCATCAAGAAGCAGCTCACAGCATTTTCAGCTGAGACCTCTCCAGACTACACACGTCCGCCTAGGGCATCCCGGATGCCAGCCGGCCACCCTGCTGCTGGCTGCAAGTCACGTGCGAGTCCAATCACCTGCTTGGGGCTAAAACAGGTCTTCATGATCAAGTCAACTTCGATGCATTCAGTGCCGTCACATGCATATTTCACTGTCAGAGGTGTGAACATCGCCCCATGGTCCTCCCAGG